TTGCTGTTCTCGGCTTTGATCTCCGCCAAATCATCATGCAAAGTCATCAGCTCATCAGCTTGGCTGGTGAGCTTATCGCCTTTCCTTGGATAGAAACAAGATTGCAAAAAACATGTAGACTAGTAGGCCACGTATGTAGCTAAAGCACCCCGATTTCTTAGCCGTGTTCAGCTCCTCCAGCGTGTTGTCCACTTTGATACGCAATCGCAGTAGCTCCGACAGCACCTGCGGGATGTTCTTGATCTCCTGAAGCAGCACAGATTGTTGGATTGCAGGGTATACATTTATGGTGGGCTTAAGTTACTCTATATATATTATATATATTATAGATATTGTGTAGGGTTTGCAATATAAGCTTAATATAAAACTTTATGTAAATCTAAAATAGACAGGGAATTAAAATTGCTGGGATCAGTTTGATGACACAATTGGCCTCCAAAGCACTTTCCACTGCTTCCTCCTTCTCCTGCTTCTCTTTCTTCTGTTTGGCCAACAGCTTGCTCTTGGGGCTGGGGGTTTTCTTCCCTCTCTTCTTGGGTCTCCTGCGCTTTGTGCTGGGGGTCTTATCCTCAACATTGACTTCGTCGTCTTCATCCTCTGAGTCGTCCTCGTCGTCATTGTCCTCGTCGTAGCATGGGAGAGCTTCGTCACCCAACGTTGGTGCCGGCAACGATGCATTGCTGTCGATGACCTCGACGAATTGGTTAAACTCTTCCTTTGTGCTCCGGGACAAGCTCCCACTGGTGCGAACATCCACCCAATACTCGACGATGTGGGATTGGTACTTGTCTTTCCTACATGCAAGAACAAAACTCCTGGATCACTCATGGTACACCCACATGGTGACTATAGTGCATGCACATGGAACCCATGGACATGTCCTTGTCAAGGCCTTCCTCCTGGCTTTCGAGGCGGTGCAGTACTTCACGATGGCCTTTATTCGGTCCCTGGGCAGCATGCACATTGTATGTACACCTCACTGATGCAGCAGCTGTAGCAAACAAGCTAAATTTGAGTCAAGCAGCTTGTCGAAGTTCAGTTCTGATTTCATTGTCGCCTCCGTGTAGTAGCCACTATCGATGACGACTTTCCCCTCCTTGATGTTGCGGATAACAATCTCCATCCGCTGATTGAAAGCCTCCTGACAGATTTGTAGCTAAGAGGGCAGACAATCAACACACATTGTTCGCAACATGTCATGCAGTCCAGTGGCCTTGTCACCCTTGCAACTAATGAGTGCCACCAGAAGCTGCTTCCTAGCCTTCGTGCTCTTCCACTGCTCAGCCACTTCTGGGCTGACTGCAATGGATCCCCTCTTGGCCGTCTTGGTACACATACGTCTCAAGATAGCATCGTAATTTCGCAGCTCCCGGGCCGTGATCCTGATAGTGCCTTGCCGAGTGACCTGCAGGGGTTTGTTGGGATTGAGATTAAGAAGGGAAAGAGTTATAGAGAGAGAGAGAGATGTGTGTGTGTATATATATATTATATATATATATATCGGTAGATAGGTAGGTATAGGTAATTGGCTTAGTACGTAGGTAGGCAGGCATGTGTGTATTATGTAAGGTAGCATATTTATGTATATTTGTATATGTAATTATAAATAAGTAAATATATAAACAAATAACTAAACAAATATATATACACACATGGAAACCTTTAATGGGTGATGGGCCTTGGTCTTCTTGGACTCCGGTGTACCCGAGTGACTTGTTGGCGTACCCACGGTTTCGGGTGGACTTCCAGGCTTGCTCTGGGGTGAGGGAGTGCCACCATGGGATCTTCGAGACTTGGATTTCGGGGATTCACTGCGCTCTCGACGCCTTTTGGGATCGGACCTGGATTTCGGGGATTCACTGCGCTCTCGACGCTTCTTGGGATCGGACTTGGATTTCGGGGATTCACTGTGCTCTCGACGCCTCTTGGGATCGGACTTGGATTTCGGGGATTCACTGCGCCCTCGAAGCCTCTTGGGATTGGAATTGGATTTCGGGGATTCATCGTGCTCTGGGCCCTTGCTGCTTTGGGGTCTCCGGTCGCTGGCTTCGGGCTTCTTATCCAGGGCCGCAGCGGGCTTTGACCTTCCACGGTCCTCCTGAGGAGCCTTGGAAGACTCTTCGGCAACAGCACGATCGCGGCTGCTGTGTCTGCATCTTTCGGGGCTTCGGGGCTTGCGTCTTGATGACTTCACCGGGGAGCTGTGCGGGCTCCCAAACTGTGTAGGCTTTCTCGGGGTTTCCGGGGCAGAAGCTTTTGCTTTGGCTGCTGGGGCTTCTTCGGGGCTTTGGAACAGCTTGCGGGCTGGATTGGGGGAGTTGATGATGGTTGGAGCCAAAGAGTCCTGCATACCACCAAGAGGCACAGGTGCCGTAGAGGAAGGCCGAGCTGGCTTTTTGCATTCCCAGTATGGATCATCGCTACCAGTATCAGGATCATCCTCCTCCTATAGACCTTTGGATTGCTAGACAAAAAATTATCTCAACCCCACATAGAAACATTCTCCTATATACCCAGATGCAGACAGGCTGCTGTGGGCGTCAGCGGTGCAGCTATCTCCTCCTTGACCAGGCTGGCGTGAAGAAGCTCACGAAGTTCATGAAAATCCTCGGATAGGAAAGGTTTTGGGCTACAAGGGATAAGTATAATTCTAGATATAGATAGTTTGTCGGATTAAAACACACCGTGCACAGTTAACATATGCGAGCTAGTTGCACAATCGCATTCCATAACCAACTCATCGTCTGAGTCACTGCCCATGTGTGCTTCAGCGAAGGTTGTTGGATGTTCGGGCTCCACGGGTCCATTGGGTCTGGCACTTTCGGTTTCCTCCAACTGACCTGTCTCAGCGGAGGCCTTAGGTTCCGCATTCATGGAAGCAGGTTCCTCAAGACCATCAGTGGCCTTAGACCCAGCAGGCAAAGCTTCCTCCCACAGGTCTTGGGATTGAGGCTGTGCATCCGTAGACACTGGTCGTACTAGCACATCCGTCCCACGGGCAGGGGTCGCAATAGGTCGCCGAGGTGGCTCTACCGGGGCTGCCATCATATGTGGAACAACCCCTTCCTCCTGATTCGAGGCCTCGATCTTCCTGGCCATCTGCTGAAGCTTCTTGAGCTTCTCCTCGGCTGCCTGGGGCTGGGCTGCACTTGTGCTTGGGGGATGTTAAGACTTAACTTTACGAAAGGAATGTACATTCTTATTATTGCAGCAATGATACTCGTAAGTCATTATCGAGATCTTCCGGCTCTTGCTTGGCGTACTGCGACTCCATGAACGAAAGCCCCGCGTAGAGCGTGGCACAGCTGTGGGTCTTTGAGGCAAGCTTTAGGGGCCCGCTTTTCACCATTGTGAAAACGTGACACTTGATCCAAAACCCTGCAAATCCGTGCTGGAATCAGTCAAAAGTAGGTGACTTAAGCGTTACGCTTTTTTTCGGCACTTTCACGCTTTTTTCGGCACTTTACGCTTTTTTTCGGCACTTTGGTTTTAGTGGTTTTGGGATGATTTTCTAGTTTAGCGTTTAAAACAAGCCCGAAGCAATCAAACAACAACCCATGAGCACCCGAAGCATCCTTGTCCCCAGGAAAGTGCCAGAATTCCCAAATAAATCCCGCAACCCCGGAGCCCAAGCAGGACTAGCAATAAAGCCCGCAAGCTTCCCCAATAAAGCAGCAACTTGTGGACTTAATCCGGTAACTCCCCACTAATCCTATACACCCCCACACACAAAAGCAGCAACTTTCCCAGAAAGAGTAAAACCCGAAGCCCCCGAAGCCCGATCCGAAGGTATCCCTTCTGGGAAAAGCACGAGGAAATGCCGCAACCCGGTATATAGCATTGGTACACACACACACACAACTTCTCAAAGAATTGTCACGAATCTCTAAGTCAGGCTGTTCCGTGGCAGAGGCATGCGTGCACTGCATACATATACAGAAAGCATATGCATGTGTGTATATATATACACATACACACGCATACATGCGGGTGTAGCTGAATAAATTAGTCATGTTTGTTCGGTATATTTATGTGTATATATATATAGAGGGTAGGTGTCACACAAAGCATGTGTATGTGTAATTTGGCTATGTATACATATATTATATAGGTTGTATATTTACAATATATGTATATATATATATACATATATATTATATATGTACATATATGTATATGTACACACATAATCCTATATAGGCTATAGACTCTCTCTCTATACATATATATATAGAGTATATATATATATGGAGAGAGAGATTAGACTAGACTAGACGAAATGGCTTAGACCAGCCATATACTCTTCATGTAGACACCTATATCTACTTAACATACACATATACTGTAATATACTGTGTATATGTATAACATACATGTGTACATGCATACCATATATACTTATACCTGAAGTCCCTATACAGCCCCACCCTGGTAGCCAGCTTCTTCCCACGGACCCAGCAAAGGCTCGATCTAGCCAGCGAAGTCGCCGGCCAGCTGGTGAAGCATTTGCTCCTGATCTGCTGTCAACTGGAGTCGCTTGTTGGCATACAGATATTCTATCACCTCATTCACCTTGGCGTCTCGCCATAGATCCTTTGGGATTTCCCGGCAGATATATTCTTTGCAATCGTCGAGTCGAAAAGTTTCCACCTCCCAACAGAAAACCCAGATTGTTCGTTGCTTGTACTTAAGGAATGCATGTATGAACATCTGCAATCCTGAATGGGCCTGCTGCTTCTCGATCCTCCACTGGATTGGCGACTCTCGGAAGGATGGAAGCAGCTTTGCAAAGCGAATGGCGAAGCCGAAAGGATATTGCCTGGGCTGGGACAAAGTGTAGTCTACAAAGAATCAACAATGGCCCTCCCAAAAATAAGTGTACTACACATAGGCTTTAAATTGCAGACACGACACTGGGATTTGCGGAGCCCCTTCTTTTTTCCTGTATAACGGGACTTTCCTTTAGAATCCTTATACCGAAGCACCAAATCGCCTCGACATTTGGCCCGCTCTTTCGCGGACAAGCGAGCATACTTTCTGAAGCTCAGGATTGCCTTGGACGATGACCACAACACCGACCTCTTCGGTGTCTTGGCACCGAGTCGCCCAAGCCAGAAGGCCTGACGGTAGACCTGGGCATTCATGGCACAGACAAATATATATATATATGTATATATATATATATTGACACATATATCATACATATGGAAGAAAAACTAGCTGAACATTAATTGAATCATGGCACCACGATGGTCTTGCATAGTTGTTGGAATCTCCTATGCCGGAACATCAACGATGATACAGGCTGTTCCAGGGTCCAGTGGCAATTTTTGGCCATGAGCAGCCAGGCGATGAGGCAGAACCTGAGATCATACAGCTAACATTGCATTGTGCGAAACTGAAATGCACACCAAACACAAACTGCCGGGCCTCGATACCATAACATTGCCATCCTGTACCCACTTGAGTGATGCGTCCCCATGGGGACACAAATATCGTCGACCATACGCATTCATGCATAAGGATACCCAACTCGAACACACCAAGCCGAAGTGGAACACAGAGTGTGGCCGTGCTCGCATTGCTTGTATCAACAGCAGCCTCAGCTTAATTCGTCAGTATGTAACCTCGCCGGCCGGATCAGAAGACAGCTTTAATTTAGCCATAGGCACACGAAGCCCGCTGCACCGAGCATATCAAGCGGGTTGTTCGTCGTCGGTCGATAGTTCGCGTGAGTTCGCCAGAAGCGGATGTCAAGGCCCGGAAAGATCAGGCCGTGGTATAGCTGCACCACCCGGCACAACATACCTGTTCCCGCACATATCTCGGCACCATCAAGTACCTCAAACCGAAACAAGCGTCCGAGGAATTCCTCAAAAGCTTCGATCCTGCTGGCTACACTGGCTCTTGATCTACTGTGTGGCCCGCCTCCTGGAGACATAGTCCCTCGGTCTTCAGAATCAAGAATATACAAAGGATCAAAACCTGGGATCAGACTTGGCAGGATTTGTTGTTTCGGGGATTAGTTTGTGAGTCTGTACAAAAAGCTGAATGCATCCAGGAACCCCAGGCGCTCGAACATTCAATAGGTCACAGAGAATCCGTGAGCGCAACCATCGATCGTTCACCATGGGGGATGGGATATGTAGAGTTACGCTACCAGAGCAGCTTGATTGTAAGCTCTATGCACAGCAGTGCAACACCAAGCTTTCATGCAGTGCACTACAACAGTGCCCAAAACCTTCATGCATGGACTGTCAATCGCACAGAAACTCATCGAAGACAGAGAGCAATGTAATTCAGCGATGGGGCGGGTGCACCTTCCGAGGATTGGGCTCGATTCCGCTTCCTCCATGCCAAGCTCATCTGGAATCGCTCGAAGTACCTGCCAGCAGGCTGGACTGTTTTTTCAGTCATATTCAAGGTTTTGAACACAAGGCCACAGACTGCTTCACGAGAACCCTTTTCCCACGTACTCATCCAAAGATGGTGCTCCGGTAGCAGCAATCTCGCATCGGATCGCTGGACTTGATTAATTGCATGAAGTGCAACAGCATACGTGGCCCCGCAAACTTCAAATACAGCTGTATGTGTTGTAGATATATAGGTAGATTTGTTCTATATAACACATGGCTTGGGCTTTGGGGGACCGGATCTGCGAAGACCCCTACAGACAAGGTTATCCCTGCCTGTACATGACCCATAAAATCAGCAGGCGGCTACACAAAGCAGCCATGCATCAAGAAGCTCGATCACACAAGTCACCAATCCATCACACGGTTGCGCGAGGCCTTCCTCGGGCACCCCTGTACACATAGTCAGGATTTTTGCATGTGCCACAGCCGGTTTTCCCCCACCGGCAACGTGGGCAACCCAACCCCTTGGCAACTCCGGCCCCGTCATCGGGGCCACCGGGTCCTCGACCTCGCCCTCGTCCGCCACGGCCACGCCCAACCGCTGCAGCCGCAGGCGGAGGAGGTACGTCGGCCGATCCAGCCGATCCACGACCGCATCCTCGGCCTTTGCCTCTTCCTCGGCCAGCCACCTTGGGGGGAGCCTCAGGCTCCGAAGCCTTATCCACAGCATCGGCTCCTGCATCAGGTCTGCTCGTTGCCTTGCCCTTTGCCTTGGCCTTTGCTTTCGGCTTTGCACCCTTCTTTGCTGTCGCCTTTGCCTTCGCTTTCGCCTTCGCTTTTGCCTTCGCTTTTGCACTGCAGCGACGGCCTTTCTTGCCTCTCTTCGAATCCTTCAGAGCATTCTGGTCCTGCGAAGAAACCAATTTCCCCGCAGCAACCTTAGTTCACACATCGTTTTCACGGGGACTCACACACACACAGAGGCATGCACATATCATGGGCGACAACTCTGCACCATTAACATATCGAAGAGACATCGGGCAGTGCTCGATCCAATGCTTTTCTCGTCGAGGGTGGAGATGGCGTCGTAGCCGGAAGAACTTGCGTCTCCTCAAGACAGGCTAGACATACACAACCATGTATATTATATATACACACCCCTACATGTCTAGATACATCGCCTCATTGTCAGGATGCCCTCGCTTGCTGCTGGCACGGCGGAGAATCGAGGCCAGCGGAGTAGCAGGTGGCCGGGCTCGGGGGCTATCATCGATCAAGATTGGGGAACCTTAGACCACAGAGGCAGCATTACACAAGTCTATACCTCAGTCAATTTCGACAAGTAGCAGCGTCGCAACCTTGGAGTTGAGGCAGGCCTCAAATGCGAAAAAATCTCGAGGTCTAGTTTGCATGCAGCCAAGCATTGCGTACACAGGTATATTATGAAGCCAAGCCACATACCAACCTTCTTTTCCAAAGCATTAATCTCCTCCTGAATCTGTGCAAGCCTGTCCCGCTTCTGCTGCATATGGATAGACGAAGAGCCGCCTGTAATCGGTTCCACCACAGGATCATCCCCTTCTTCATTCTCACCTTCCTCCTCCCCTTCCTCATGGTCCTCCCCTTCCTTATCATCTTCTCCACTAGCGGGGTTCTTTCCTCCCTCATCCTCCCCTTCATCAACCTCCTGATCATCGAAGCTGTCAAGGTGGATGATCGGGAGCGTTGCAGCGGCCTCGTCATCCGCCTGCTCTGGCTCTGGCTCGCCTGGCTCGC